TATATATAAAAGTTTACCTTGTACTTACAGTGTTCAGTAGGTAAGCCACTAGCTACATGTAGCTATCTCAATTCTCATTAAAATTCAGTGAAATTCAAAACTTAATTCTGCAGTCACACTAGCCACATTTCAAGTGTTCAGGAGCTGCATGTGACTAGTGGCTACCATCTATAGAAGTGTAGACACAGAACTTTGTCATTACTGCACAGTTCTTTTGAACCATGGTCCCTTGCAAATAGCAACCAAAAAATAATTATTAAGTGAAGGAATGAATGAATGCTGTGGGTGCTGTCAGTTGTTCCCTGACCTGTTGTCTTTAAAAAAATTGGTGGGCCCAGGTCATCAGAGAGACTGATTTAAAAAGTTTAACTGGACTGGCACTAAATAGGATTACAGAGGAAAACTGCCTTTCCTTTCTGTGTAATAAAGTTAAACAGAACTGCTCTGGGGTCTTTCTAATAAAAGATGTATTAGTAAGTCACATCTGCTGCTTTTTCCCTCTCCACTTTATGGAGGATTTTAGAAGGTCAGGAAAATAGAAAGTGAAGCTAGAAAAAAACAGGTTTGCCCTTTACTGAGGAATAACTTCCTGTAAGTGAACTGAATAGTCTTGAGCGGCTTCTTCCTATTTAGGAGAGCTTAGCAGAGCAAGGTAGGTTGGAGAAAAGCAGGAGAGAGACCTCTGAGAAAATACTGTAGTAGGGAAGACCGAAGACGAAGGTGTGGGGAAAAGTGCTAGAGATGAGTTTAGGTTGTTTTTATGCGATCCCAAAGCAATTATGTTAGTACAGAGGAAGAGAATGAATTGCTTTTTAAACAGGTATATTGTTATTTGAAATACCAGACTTCCAGATTAATTTTCAGTATCAGTATTCTAATTGTTTTTTATTTTATTAAGTTTTTGTGCCTTTAATAGAGTCATTCTAGATTGGGGATGTAGCTCAGTGGTAGAGCCCTTGCCATGCAGTGCACACACACACACACACACACACACACACACACACACACACGAGAGCCATTCTATTGCTAAGATTAGGCAGGCTTTTACTGTTAGGACAGTCTCCTGATATATATATATATTTTTTTTAAATTTATTTATTTTAATTTTTATTTATTTTGGCGGAACTGGGGATTGAACTCAGGCCCTTACGCTTGCCAGGGAAGCGCTTATTCCACTGAGCCATCTCCCTGGCTCCTCTCCTGACATTTATTTATTTAGGGGGGTGTGTGTGTGGCCAGCTCAGCCCACCAGGGGGCGGGGCTGGCTGGCATGTGGTGCTGGGGGATTGAACCGCGGTCCCTGTGCTTTGCTAAGCTTGTTCTAAGTAGGTGCTTTAGACCACTGAGCCATATCACCAGCCCTCTCCTGATATTTTTGATGATGTGTCTAAATCTGACTTCTGTGCATTTTAAATCTATGTCAGGTGCTCTTCTTACATATCCTAATTATATTTATCCCCATTGCATTTTATTTTGCAATGAATTTTTGCCTATTTCATGTCCCAGAATGTAAGTTCCTTAAGAGTTAAGGTTCCTTTTGACAAATCTACTGTATCCCCAGTGCCTGACTTAGTGCTGTATATGGAATAGGTGATCATTACATATTTGTTGAATGAATGAATTTTGGGTTGATACTGTAAAATAATACTAAGAATATAGGTACAGAAATCAAGGAGAGAAAGCCAACTGGACCTCAGAACAGTGTCATTATAGTAGTATATATACTTCATTGTCTTATACATAAAACAATTCTTTTTCATAAATATAGTTTACTAATTGAAACTAATTTTGGTTAAAAATTGCATAAGTAATAAGTTGTTTACAATTGCAAGTAGCTCTGTTAATTATACTTGCATATAAACTATCTCAAAATGTGATTATATAATTTGACAGTGATGGAATTAATGGAAACCTGGTTTTGGCTAGGAGGTAGCTGCTTTATATGCGAGTGTAATATAAATTCACTGAGATGTTATACATCAAATCCCAGATAAGCTACATTTTTTTTTCTTTAGCCTTGAGGGGGCGAGAGATTGTAGAAAGTCTAAACACAGCAGATAACATCAGGCCATCTGTTGGTTTTTGGTGTAGATTTTTAGCTATGTAGAAAAAGAAAAAACCACCAGTGGTAGTTTTATGTTCTTCCAGTTTAACAGATTGCCCTCTCTTCCTCAGGATTTAGGTTCTGAATAAACTGTTCCATTTCACATTAAAAACTAATATAACACTCCTCACAGATACTAGGTTATTATAGGTTATTATAGAAAATTTAATATATACTGCTAGGGACTTAATCAGGACTATGATTCTTCTAAATAGGAAACATTTTAGAATTTTGTAGCATCACCAGGTTTTAGTCAGTAATGTGTGTCATCCAAAAGATATCGGAAATGTAGGAATATAATTAAAACATTATATTTAATTATTTCATTAAATACAAGTATTGAAATATTACCTGTCAATATTTTAAAGAACTGTTGTGGGTTTTTTTGTTTTTGTGGTACCAGGGATTGAACTCAGGTTCCTGCACTTGCCAGGCAAGTACTTATTCTACTGAGCTATCTCCCTGGGCTCCTTAAAGAACTGTTTTTCTAAATATATTAATCATACTAATAAAAGACTAAAAAGTTCTAAGTACACTTCCATTTTATTCAGAACTTCGGTCTAGATGCTTCCAAATAATAAGCAATTGTGTATTTTAATCACGTTATATCATTATCCTATTTAATCCTTATAACTGCTGAATTGGATATTATCCTCATTGTACAGATGAGGGAGCTGAGATTTGGTTAAATAACTTGCTTAGGTTTACACATCTACCACATGGTAAGGCCAGCCTTGTAATGATAAGGCTCCCTGTTTTGGTCAAGTTTATAGGCAGGATAATGATCTCCCCTCACATTGTTAGACAGAATAAAAGCTGTAATCTGAATCAATCACGTGCTAATTTTTGGACTGGCATTATCACCATTTTTCTTTTTAAATGTATTTGGTTATTACAAGGTCTCACTCCCCAGCTCAGACTCGTGGTGAACCTCCTGCTTTCAGTCTCCCCAGCATTGGGATTACAGGCATGAGCCACCAAGCCCAGACTCTGGCTGGCTTATCTCACCCTGCAGGCGGGGCTGGTGCAGCGGGTGGTGCTGGGATCAATTCTGTGCTTGCCCTGAGCTTGCCTAAGCAGGCGCTTTAGTCCACTGAGCTATCCTACTGGCCCTATTTTTTTTATTCCTTAAGGACCTTTTTTCCTTTTTAAGCCTTGAATACATTGTCTGTCTTGAAAACTTTATGTTCTTGGCTGAGCAGTCAGTAAGAAGAATGGGAGGTTTCCATCGGACTGTTTCTTACTGGCTGCCACAACTCCACTGAACTCACCTTATGACCCTGGTGACTATGTGTGACTCATAAAATGCCCGGCTGTATTTGCACTCTTCGGTGAGCAGATTGCTCCTTGTTGTCTTAGGTTATGGACTCCCCAAGTACACGCAGCTCCATTTCTAACTCAAAGTTACTAGTTCCTTTTTTTGCTTCTATACTATGGGTCACTACATTTGAGTGATTACAAAACATAGTTTTTGTTGTTAGCAGAACCGGGGATTGAACTCAGGCCCTTGCACTTGCCAGGGAAGTGCTTATTCTACTGAGCCATCTCCCTGGCCCCTACAAAGCATAGTTTTTAAAAAATATTCTTCAGATTTATTCCTTTTAATATTGAGATAAATGTCGAATATAAAATGGAAATTGTTCTGCGGATAATTTAGGTCAGCAGGTTTTTCCCCTAATGTTTAAAACTGTTGCCAGTACAAAGTTCATAATCTTACCTTTTAAGAAGAGTATTTGAATTATATTATTATTTTTTCTTCTAGATATTTAAATTTTCTCAAATAGAAGCCATTTAAAAAATGTTTTATAGACCAGAGAGATAGCTCAGTGGAATAAGTGCTTGCCTGGCAAGCACAAGGTCCTAAGTTCGATCCCTGGTACTGAAAAAGAAAAAGTTTTATATTTAATGTATGTAATTCTGAATAAAACATGCATCATTTTTACTTTTTGAAAGAATGTGTACTGTCATTAATGTATAACCAGTGTACAATTGTTTTCAATGAAAGAATGAAAGGCCAGTGAGCTCTTACAGATCATTAAGATGTCTATAGAAATAATGTGGAACTCATATTTTATGGAGCTTTCTTGAATGCCCTCACCATTTTTCTTATATGTATGCCACACTTAAGCGCGAAGCAGGGGCTGGTGAGATGGCTCAGTGGTCTAAAGCACCCACTTAGAACAAGCTTAGCAAAGCACAGGGACCGCGGTTCAATCCCCAGCACCACATGCCGGCCAGTCCCGCTCCCTGGTGGGCTGAGCTGGCCACACACATACACACACACACATAAATAAATAAAATTAAAAAAAAAAAAAAGCGCGAAGCACTGGCTGTGCTCTGCCAGTTTCAGGAAAGCAGCAGGGAGTGTGCCGAAGTGCAGCTTATGCTGAGCCACGTCTTGCTACTTTAACATTATTTTAGATCAGCCCAGGTGATTCTTGACAACATAAAGGACTTGTGTTCAGTTCACTAGTCAGTAATGTGAGAAAGGGTAAGCCTGGTTTGAAAATCACACCTAAAAGTATTATAACATGGCTATGAAAAATATATAGTTTGAAATTACTTCCTGTGCCCTGTTAATGTTAGTGAAGTATGTTGATATAGCAAGATAATATTGAAAGAAACCTGGTTCATGAAGGATACACTATTGAGAGGTACCTTTTTTTTTTACCATTTAAAATGTGTAATTTTCAACCTGAAAATGGAAATCAAATTATTTCCCTCCTTGGATCTCCTAAGAGAAGTATCAGATGCTTAGTGCTACTTCTTGAGTGGTATCTGAGGGTCACTAGAAAGCCATCTATGGAGAAAAGAGGTAAACTTCCTGCGGTCTGCTTTGTTGCTGGTAAATCCCTCCTCTTCCTCATGGGTGCTCAGAATAAGTTGCATTGCTGGCTTCCTCCACAAGGTGAGTTCCTCATTTCAGCATTTACATAATCCTTGATAGTTTTGCCCTCAATCATATTGACTATGCTGAGATTCCATGTTTCCTTGAGTAGATGAGTATGTATACAAAGTTTGTCAATTTCAAGCAAAATTTCTTAAAATTTCCTAGTATGAAGCCCAGAATCCCTCAGGAGCATCCTTCCAACCACCAACCCAGCCTGCAGCAAAGAATACCTCCATGAGCCCTCGCCAGCGCCGGGCCCAAAAGCAGAGTCAAAGAAGGTCGTCCATGTCACCAGATGTAATACAAGGCCAGCAGCCAAGAGACAACCACACAGACCGTGGTGGATCTGCTGTCCTGATTGTCATCCTGACTTTGGCATTGGCAGCACTTATATTCCGACGAATATATATGGCCAATGAATACATATTTGACTTTGAGTTATAATACCATTTTGTGAATTAAGAGCCGTGACTCAGCTGCTTCATTAAACATTCTGCATTGGGTATAATTATGAATTGTTTACAAAGCAATTATTTTGTATCTACCTTTCATTCCTCTTTTAATCTTTCTAAGTTCAATATGAAGTTAGCTAGACATTCAGACCATGCCAAGCAGTGTGTTCTACTTAGTATCTCACTGTTTGATCTGCTTCACAGGGAAATATTTTATTCTGTTGTTTCTCATGCTTCAGTTTCTTTTTTCCTTAAATTTACAGTACCTTTCCATATAGATCTTTGAAATTTTCAGATAAAAGATGGTATTTTTAAGTTCCTATGAGTATTATTAGTTCCTCAGTAACATTTATTGAGTACTCCTAGTTAGATAGAATGATATAGGGATAAGGGCCAGGGATATAGCTCAGTGGCACAGTGCCTGCCTGGCAAGCACAAGGTCCTGAGTTTGATTCCCGGTACCAAAAAAAAAAAAAAAAGAAAAAAGAAAAAAGGAATGGTATGGGGATAGAAGAATTGAAAAGGGAAAAAGCAGAATTCAAGTAGCTTCTTTAAAGGGTCATTCACAGGAGATACATTGATACTGCGCATTCTCTGACTTTGTGCTCTAAATAACTTCAGTGAAAATAACTATTTTGGTCAAACATTTCTGAGGAAGTGAGATCACATTTGTGTCATTGGACATTACTTGAAGTGGAAGCACTTTGTAACCACTTTGATATACTATTATTAACCCCCCCATATGCACACAGATTAAAGAAAAAAAAGGAGACATTCCTTCGAAGATCTTTGTTTTAAGGAATAAAGAAGCCACTCCAGAAAATCACTTGATTTTCTTCTAGAAGTTGGGAGGGGGGCGGGATCTTAGGATTGGAATGCTTGTCGTGCTTTGAAGTGTGTTTTTTGAGATGTGTTGTAGGCCTAGCTTTGTAATCACAATAAATTTTAATTCCAGGAATACACATAATATACTATTTCATGTATTATTTTAATAGAAGAGCTCAGGGCCCAAGAAGCAGTGATAGAAATTGTTTACTCAGAATTGTCTACCTGATCAAAGCCCAAGAAAGATTTTCAGTGAAACAAATCAGTGTCTCAGTGCTCTCCAGCTCCACCTATGCTAGGAAGATAATTAGTATCGCGAAGTCTGTTGAGCCCATATAATCACAGAAAACATTGTCTTCAGCGTGTTCCATTAGCAGCATCCAGATGTTACCAATGAAGAGTTAATTTTTAAATATAAACACTCTCCACCTTCCATTTAGAAATACACTTATAAGTTAATTTCCTTTATTTTTTTATGGAACTGGGAATTGAACTCAGACCCTTGTGCTTGCCAGGGAAGCGCTTATTCCACTGAGCCGTCTCCCCGGCCCCTTAATTTCCTTTTTATAACTGATTGTAAATGAAATTGGGTTTTAGATCAGTTTGTGAAAATTAAGTAGTTTAAAGGAGGGTTTCATAAACTCCTTCTGTGAGTTTAACTGAAGTTATGGGCTAGAGGAAAAAAATTCATAAAATTAATTTAAAGGCAAATTTAATTTTCTCATAGGGAGTTTGGAGCTATGAACTATCAGACATAATTTCTGTTTTCACTTGATAGCCAATTTTCTATTATGTGTGCATCTAAAATAAGTACAGATTTACTGTTATGTAAATAGAATTGTCTTAAATTTAATTATAAAGTTGTTTACAGATTATTTGTTATATTTATAGCTGAAGCTGGAAAATTCTAAAAAGCCCATGGACTTTATGAAGACCTCATGTCAGGAAATGTATAGATTACCATTTTAGGGCTTCAGTGCCATGGTAAAATATGTAATGAGGTCTTGGTTCATGACACAAGTTACTAGAAATATTAGAAGTCACTGACCCAACTGGGAAGACCAAGTAGCCTTTTCACCTGAGGGAGAAATCCTCATGCCCTTGACCTAAGATAATATTGTGTGCTCGAAACAGTCTTCCTCCCGCATAGTGCTCTAGCCATACCTGAGAGGCCTCTGGCTCTGTGTGGTCTTGCTGCACGTTTCCATGAGGTGTGCCTGCAGTCTATAATTAAGCAGCGTGCTGATCCTTAACCCAATGTACTTGTCTTCCCTCACCCATCAAGCCGATGGATCCCTGCTTGTTTGTGTTGGGATTTGTAGCACCTGATTACACATCTGAAAGTGGCGCATTTTGCTCTTGCCACATAATGTTCCCTAAAAATCCTTAGGTTCATGTCACTGTGACCCTCGTCGTGGGGCTAAGAAGCCCCATTAATGTTGCTCTAGGACTATTTTAATTGAAACTCCACTGAAGGGCCTCTTTAGGAAACTATTATTTTTAAAGCCCTACTTTAATCCTTTAATTCCAGCATAAGCCCAAACTGGATGTATAATCTGGTAGGTGAAGGCTTAGAATTTCTTATTGCCCCAATTCTTAAATGTAGGTAATTCATGGCCCTTCCTTTGGCACCGTAATCACGACTGCTTATCAAGATAGTCAAAACAGCATGCTTCCAGAACACGTTCCTCTGTAACTGTTTACACCAACAAACCTTTCAGATTTCATGTAATGTGGGGCTTTTATGTAGTGCTTTGTTTCTATGCTGCTTATTTTATCCTACTGAAATAAATGAGTTTCATCAAAATTCTCACTTTTTTAAAAACTTTAAAAATTGTTTATTTTGACTATAGAAATATAAAATTTCCTATTTCAGGCAAATAATTCAATGTTGGTTTATGAATAAATATTCTGATATCTGAGATGCCCTGTTTTTATAGATGAGAATCAGTGAATAAGTAAACCTCATGTACTTGGACTTGGGCAGAAACGTAAGGTGAAATACTGAAAAGCCTACATTGTTTTATTTCTCATATATATATATATATATATATATATATATATATATGAATGTATTTAGTGAAACACATTAACCAAGAATTATGTATACATGAATGTATGCACCACTGAAGCCCTTGTAGGAGGTATGCATGTCTCAGGAGCTGTCTGGAACACCTCTTGAACAGGTCAGTGCCTTTAGAACCAGTTTGAGCTGCTTAATAAAACCACTGGCTGATCATACCTTATTTTTGACCAAAGCTTGAATTCTTGCCCGCCTAGCCTTATCTCTGGTTTCTATTCTCTTTTGAACATCTTTTTAATTTTTCTTGTCTTTCATTTATTCATTTGATACAGGGTCTTGCTACGCAGCTCAGACTTATAGTGGTCTTCCTGTGTCATTCTCCCCAGCGCTGGTATTATAGGGGTGTACCACCATGGTGTGCTTTGGGGTCAGCATGGCAGGTAACAGGGATTGAACCCTGGTCCTTGCACTTGCCAGGCAGGCACTTAGGCCACTGAGCTATCTCCCCAGCCCCGAACATCTTTTTCTTGTCTTCTCTCTTCATGTTCTCATTACTCCAAAATAGCTATTATACAGCATGTGGTGCCAGGGATTGAACCGTGGTTCCCTACATCTGCCTAAGCTTGCTTAAGCAGGTGCCTTAGAGTGCTGAGCTCTCTCGCTGGCCCCTAGGTCTCTAATCTTTATCCATTCCTCACACTTAGCCAGACTCTTCAACACTTAAATCTGATTGATTCTTTCCTATTGCTTTTTTGAGGTACCAGGGATTGAACTCAGGACCCTGTGCTTGGCAGGCAGGCACTTATTCTACTGAGCTATCTCCCTGGCCCCCTTCTATCGCTCTTGAAGTACGCCTAAACCCTACTGCTAGGACACAAAGCTGTGTGTGACCAGTCCTGCCTAGCTTTCAGGACTAATCTGAGCTCATCAAATGGTTTTGAGGCTATACCACAGCTTTGAGCCAGTGAGAAAGTGTTGAAAGTTCTGCCATCTTATGTAGCCTTGTGCCGTAGAATCAAATGTATCAAAGACTTCATGTAAACCCAAAACAAAAACTCGGGGAATAATAGATGTTTTTCACAGTGGGACAGGAGTGGATTTTTAAAGTGCAAGACCAAAAGCACAAACAAAAAGTTAAGTTGTAGTTCATCAAAATAAAAATCTGTGGGGCTGGTGAGATGGCTCAGTGGTCTAAAGCACCTACTTAGAACA